GAAAAGGGGACTCTAGTACACTGCTGTGAGGATGCAGACCGGTGCAGCCACTGTGGAAAACAATATGGTGCTACCTCAAAACATAAAAAATGGAACTGCCATTTGACCCAGTGATCCTACTTCTGGGAATATACCCTAAGAAACACCAATCAGAAAGAATATATGCACCCCTATGTTCATAGCAGCACTATTTACAATAGCTAAGATCTGGAAACAGCCCAAGTGTCCATCAGTAGATGAGTGGATAAAAAAGCTGTGGTAGCCCTGGCCAGTTGGCTCAGTGGTTAGAGAATTGGCCTGAGGACTAAAGGGTCATGGATTTGATTCCTGATCAAGGGCATGCACCTGGGTTGCAGGTTCGATCCGCAGCCCTGGTCAGGGTTGTGTAGGAGGCAACCAATCAATGTGTCTATCTCACATCAATGTTTCTCTCTCTCTCTCTCCCTCCCTCCCTTCCACTTTATCTAAAAATCAATGAAAAACTATCTACTGGTGAGAATTAACCAAAAAACAAACAAACAAAAAACTGATATATTTCCATAATGGAATACTATGCAGTTGTAAGAAAGAAAGATCTCTTACCATTTGAGACAGCATGGAAGGACCTGGAGAGCATTATGCTGAGTGAAATAAGCCAATCAGAGAAGGACAAGAAACACATGATCTCACTTATTTGTGGAATATAATGAACAAAATAAACTGACCAACAAAAGAGATCCAAAGACATGGAAGTAGGGAACAGACTGACCAACCTCAGAGGGAATGGAGGAGGAGGGGTGGGAAGAGATAAACCAAAGAACTTATATGAATATATGCACCGCCCATGGACACAGAGGATAATGAGGTGAAAGCCAGTGGGTGTGGCAGGAGTGAGGTGGAGGGTATCAGTGGAGGAAAAGGGAGACATCTGTAATACTTTCAACAATAAAGATATATTTTTGAAATATGGCTTAAATTTACAGATACGGTTTTAAGTGAAACGAGGCAATTTGACCAAAAATAGATATGATATCCATCTAAAAAATTTTAAAATGAGAACCATGTATTATTTAAGCATATCAGCTATAGTAAAATCAGAAGTGAATGCAAGCAAATGATAAACATAAAAATTATCAAACTGGTGGAGGGGCGGAGGGTGCAGGAGTGTTTTTATTCTCATGCTTTATAACTTGCATGCATATCCCAGAATTGTATATATAACAAGGATTTCCTTACTTAAAAATAAAAGTAGTTGTCGGCTCCATGCATATTTGTTTTGCCAGACCATTATAAGCTCTTCTTATTAAATGATAAAAGCTTAAAAGCTTTTCCCACCAATGTGCTTAACATAAGCTGCTTGTTTTCCCTTAAATATCTTCTACTTCCTCATCAGTTTACTTCTAATGGGGAGGGTCCCAGTGGAAACTGCTTCCGGTGCCCCCACAGATATCCATGCCCTTCCTACACGTTCATTTTCTCATCTTTAATATTGTGTTACAAGTGCTGTAGGGGTTACAGAATGAGTAAGACACAATGCCTCTTGTCAAGGAAGGAGCAGGTCACACACCTAGAAGACTGCTGTAAGGGATGTCATTGTGGAATATAAACAGTGTTAAAGAACCCCACTGGAGAAAGAAATTGGTTCTGTAAATCCCGATCAAATAAGTGGTGGTATAACATGAGCCTCCAATGGTTTCTTTTTCAGTTTGTTCTCATGCACAAAAAGTTCCTCTTCACCTTGCCCACTTCCTACAAAATACTCCAAGTACTTCAGATGAGTCACCATGCCCCCCACAGGCACATACAGGACTCTCCCATCCCATACCGTGCCGCCTGCTCTCACTGCTATCCAGGGGAGCAGCGCTGTTGCCTGTTGGCGGACAAGATGAACGATTCCATTTTACTCTTGTCTAGACTTGGGCAAAGTCAGTGCCCTAAAAATGCCACATAAATATTTTTTTGGAAAGCTATGTCTCCATGAATCACCTGGCTTCATTAAACTGGTCATTTTGATTCCATTTTTTATGTGACCAAGAGAACCAATATCTGACAAATTTACTGACCCAGAGCAAAGCTTCTGGGAAAAAGCTAATATTGGACACCAGCTCCAAGAAGCCACATGCTAAGTTTTTCTATTTTGGAATGATGCGGTCATCACTGCAGATTTAGAAACATCTTTCAACCTTCTAGTTTATTAAAATCTTTGGAGACTTCATGTGTTCTCAGCATAATGTAAACTACCTACAATAATGGGGACTTAATAGAGACAAGAAAAAAAACCTGTGTAGCTTCTCCAGACATTCTTCTTGAAAGCTCAATTTTGCTAGAATTTTTAAAGAGAGTATGTATGTTTTGTCTTCTAGAATGATCCCTTTAGAACATCAGTCAGGCCTCTCATACTCTTAATTCTTCAATGGTCTCATAGAAGAAAAATCTAAAGTCCTTCCTGTGGTACCAGATCACGACATATGGCCAGCCACACTGGTCTTGTCTGTTCCTGACCTTACCATGCGTGTTCCCGGAGGCTCGGGGCCCTTCACTACCTCTTCCACTGGCAGATTTTTACTGAGCTCGTTCTTAGTTCATTCAGATATCTGCTCAAATCTACTCAAAGAAGTATTTCCTGATCATCCCATTTATAGTACAATTCAGATTGCTTTCTGTAGCTAATTCTACTGTAGGTTTCTTTCATAGCATAAATCACTATCTGACATTATTAAATGTGGTATTATATGTTTATGCCTGTTCTCTTTCTCTTAAATGTAAGCTCAGAGAGGACGGAGGCTTTGTCTGTATCCTGATGCTTGGTACATAGTGGTGTTCAATAAATGTTTGTTGAATGAATAAATGAAAAGCTTGCATTTCTGTTGCCCAGAAGGGATAGGGTTAAAACAAAGTCTGAGGCTTTGTAGTATTCACTGCGGTGCACGATAGAGGTAGTATGAATTTTTACAGAACGTACACAGAACTTGACATCAGAAAATATGGGTGTATTAGGCACATGACTGGATAGGTCTGAGTGTCAATTTCCTCTGACCAAGTAGATTTGACTAAAATTGTAAGATCAAATGACATAAAGAAAGTGGTAACTTTCCATAAATCTTAAAATCTGATTGTACCTATTGCTATCTCTTCAGGCCAACATGCAAATATTACAAAAGCAAAAGCAACTATTCAATTTAAAATTTACAACTTTTAGAGCTAGAAAAACTCTCCTAAAGATCTAATAAACTTCCAATCATCCTTAAAAGGGAAAACCATACAATGAAAAAATGAGTTGAAAAGCTGTTATAAAACAAAATATAATATTTCCACATATGCATGCATTAAAATGCAATTATAAGCATTGCTTTCTTGTCTCTTAAAGTTTAGTCTTTATAAAATTAGCTAGGATTTTCATAATGTGGTTCTTTCTCTGAGGACTAAATAGATATGCTAATCTCAGCTAGTTACAAACTTTAATTTCATAATATCCCCAGCCATCTCTTATAAACCTGTGAGTCATTCTATGTAAATAGAAAACAGTAACAGCCCACTTCAAATTAGGTTGTTTAAATTCCCTTTTTTCTAATAAGGAAATCCTTGCTGTTGTGTAATAAATATTAAAAAGCACTAGTACATTTTTAAGAGACTTAGTTAAAATAAAATGAAGATTTTAAACATTACCTTTGAATGAATAAATGAGGGCTGAATTTTATAGTTTGCTGACTCACACTTTTCTAGGTGAGGACCTGTTTCGATAATGCTAACCTTATTTATTTAGGTCTTTAGCCAAGAGTATTGCTGTATTATTGAGACAGTGTGGGTAATGAAGATATTCAAATGTGCATGTTGAAGCCCAAGTGTAATTTATGCCTGTTTCCTTGAGGGAGGTGGAGGGCAGTTTTATTGAAATAAGATCTGTACATATTGGTGATGAAGAGTGTGTGCTAAATACCCCTGTGGAAGGAGCCCGACTGTTTGCAGGGCAGAGTATCAGTCATATACGCTGCTCGATTCAGTGAGTGAGCTCCTGTTGCTCCAGCCTTCTTTCCTGTTTCTATTCGGTGCAGAGTGCATGGAATAGAGCCTCAGAAAAGAGGAGGGGCCTATTCTGAAAAGACAGAGGAGGGTAGCTCCAGTTCATTACCCCAAGGAGGTTAATCGGCAGTCAGGGCCAAGCTTACAGGTCACCTCCTGACATCTTCCCCAGCTTCTGTCCTTCTGTTGCAGAAGTATGTTGCTTTGGCCCTCTGAGTTTGTGCTCTGCATAGGCTTCTACTCCATCATGCATTGCATGATACAATATTAATCACATGTGTGTAAGTATACCCAACACACTGAGCTTCTCCTAGGCAGCTCTGTCTGTGCACCCAGCTCTGGCCTGGCCCATTGTGGGTGCTGGCTGAATTCATACTATTATTCAGAAGAAATAAGTTAATGCAGGTGCTGTTCACCACCCACCCCTCAGAGAGGGGCTGAAAGTGCAAAGTCCAGCCGAGGCTCTGACGGGGTGATCCTGGTTTTTTCCTTCAGACTGTCAAAATTGAGAAGTGCAGAGATTGTGCATAATGGTTTTTAAAGACTGTCAAGAATTTTAAAACCTCTTCTTCTCAATAGGATCCTTTCCCAAACTCTCAATTTTATTATTTTTCTTCTGTGATAGAGTTTTTAAGTCCATCACTTCCCCCTTCATGCCTCTTCCTGATGAATACCACCACTGATTTGAAAATTAGTCTAGTCCTGCTTGCCCTGACCTTCTTACGTGGTGTTCTGGCCTCCCCTTGCTGGAACTTTCCTCGGGCCCGTAGGTGCAGAGGTGTGTGCAGGGAACCTCCTCCAGGGTAACTAGGGTTACACCTGGCCCTACAACAGAATAAACAAGAGTGTCAGTGTGTGTGTGTGTGTGTGTGTGTGTGTGCGCGCGCGCGCGGCATGAAAGGAAGGGTGAGGGTGTAGAAAGAAGATTGGGGAAGTAAGAGAGAGACTTAATGAGGAACATTTGTATGGTCTCTGAACATCTCTTTGACATTCTTTTTTAGGTTGACTTTGGATTTGCTAAGAAAATAGGATCTGGACAGAAAACATGGACATTCTGTGGGACCCCAGAGTATGTAGCTCCTGAAGTCATTCTCAACAAAGGCCATGACTTCAGTGTGGATTTCTGGTCCCTGGGAATTCTAGTGTATGAACTCCTAACGGGCAAGTAAGTCTTTTGAAGTTGTGTTCAGCCTCTTCTTCAGAGAAGTGCAAAAATAACTAATGATAAAAACATATAATTTAAGAGTTTAACATTTTGGAAATGTGACGCCTTTTCCTCTTTACATTATTTTGCACATAGTATGCTTGCTAGTTTATAATATAGAGAAAAGATTCAGGAAGATAAAAGGAAGAAGCATAGAGGGCTATGGTTTACCTAAATAGCAAGGTCTGTTATTACCGATAACATATTAAGTAAGTGTATGAGGGTTTTGATAACTCAGCGTGAGAATAGGAAAAGAAATAGAAATTGTAGCTTATGTGATTGTTTCCTCATATGGTTTTTTTTTTTTTTCTAATTGAGAAAATAGCAATCATGTTTCAATTAAGTTTATTGATCAAGTTTATTGATTAAGTTTATTAAACTAAATTTAGTTATGTTCTTCTATCTTCCCAATAAATCATTAACCAGAAATGCTAAGGGAAAGTAACAGTGCCGGAATTACATTTCATTCCCTTGTCATCTGCTTTCTGGAAGTGCTAATTAACAGAGACATGACACAGCAGGGGTTTTAGCAGTTAAAACTGAATTGTCATTTCCAAAGAGATGAAAGGGCTATATTAAAGATTCCAGGATTCCAAATATTCAACATGCACACACACACACACACACACACACACACACACACACATTTGTATGCACACATGCACACCCATGACATATATAGGCTATATGTAATACAAACTCATATTTGTAGAATATTTTACAGTTTACCGAGCACTTACATGTGCCTTATCTAGTTTTGTTTTACATACTTGTGTGGAAATTAAAGCTGGGATTTTTATTATTTTTTTATCATTTAAATTTTTATTATTGTTACTTTATGATTTAAATTTTATAGATTAGAACACCAGGGCAGTGAGCTACCTGCCTGTGGGGTTTTGATCCCATATCTTCCGACTCCAAATGGGACGCATTTTCCGTTACTCCCGGCATGCGGTGTAGTGCTGGGCACACCCACCTGATGTGTATCAGTGATCCTTCCAGTTTGGTGCCTCGACTTTTCATTAACTGGTCCAGTCATCCTTACAAACCTTTATAACCAAATATTCTCAGTCTTAATTCCAGGGAGGATTTGCATCTAGAACAGCATAAGAAAATACTGGTATGAGCCCACTGATGGGAATTTAAGTCTCAACACATACTTTACAAAAAGAGAGTTTTACAGAATCTTCTTGAACTTTTTATACTACAATTTTTTTTAGATATGTTTTTATTGATTTTTTTAGAGAGAGGGGAAGGGAGAGATAGATAGAAACATCAATGTGAGAGCAAAACATCAATTGGCTGCCCCCGACTGGGGATCGAGCCCACAGCCCAGGCACATGCCCTGACCAGAAATCTGTCCAGGACCTCTCAGTCCATGGAACTGATGCTCAATTCATTGAGCCACACTGACCAGGCTACACTACAATTTTTTTTTTATCCTCACCCGAGGACATTTTTCCATTTTTGTTCAGATAGAGTGGGAGGGAGAGAGAGGAAGAGACAGAAACATCCACGTGAAAGAAACACATCGAGTGACTGCCTCCCGCACGACCCAACCAGGGCCAGGGACAAACCGCAACTAAGGTACGTGCCCTTAATGGGAACCGAACCCAGGTCTCTCTGGACTGCAGGCCGACACTCTAACCACTGAGCGAAACTGGCCAGGGCTACACTACAATACTAATGTTAGACTACCTGTAACTGCATTCTACATCCTTGTCAATGTGCATTGAACAAACAGATTAGAAAGATTGTTTTATATTATTTGTAATCAATTTCAAATATTCGTTGCTTAAGATTTTGAAGGAAAGAAGAGAAAAATGTCCAGACAGTCATTCAGACAGAAAGTTGCTTAAGGTCTTGGGGCATAAGAAATTGTATTTCATGAATTTTTTTTCTCAGCCCTGGAAAACGTGTTAGCTGCATTTCTAACAGACATGATGGTTTCTATAGGCAACTGGAGGATAAACATTTCAGTCTTCACCAACAGGGATAAATTGTTAAAGGTGTAGGAAAATAAAATGAGAGAATAAAGAAGGGGAATAAAACCCAATAATTTGGAGTTGCTAAGGTGGCTTGAGCTGTCATAGAAAAGTTGAAGAATTGTTTTTGTAAAGGTTTTCAGGGTAGGACACAAGAAAAGTTAATTTTAAATGCCCTGAACTCAAGAGTCATGAAAATGGGAAGAAAAAAAAACAAAAACCTGAACAAAACATAATATAGTTGTGACTATACAAACCAGTTGAAAATATTATACAATGTTTTCGTTTCTTACCAGATTTTCTTTACAAGTGAAACATAGAAAAGTTAGTGCACTGACCTGAGTAGAAGTTTATTACCAAGGGTAGGGATTCTTAGTATCAACAAGGTCTCAAGTATGACAGAGAAACAGCAAGTAGTTCATGAAAGTCATCTTATTTTCAAATATTAAATGACAATAGAGTAGCTACTGAAGAGTTTTACACGCAAAATGTATGTATTAAAATATTATTCAAGCCCTGGCCGGTATGGCTCAGTGGTAAGAATGTCATCGGTGAACCAGAGAGTCCCGGGATTGATTCCAGCCAAAGGCACGTACCTCGGTTGCGGTTCATCCCCCACCCTGGTTGGGGTTGTACTGCTGGCAACCAGTTGATGTGTCTCTCTCACATCGATGTTTCTCTCTCTCTCCCTCCCTCTCTCCCTCCAGCTCTATCTGAAGATTAATGTAAAAAGTATCTTCGGGTGAGGATTAAAATAAAAAATGTTATTCAAATTCAATTCCCAATGCTTTCTTGCTCACCTTAACAACACTTTCCTTGAAATTCTCTCTTCACAGGAACTCTCTTTCCCCCATTTGTTTCCCCACACGGGTGGCTTCTCCTTAGTCTCCATTGCTGGGTCCTTCTCGATATCCTGACCTCTCAGGACTGGGCCACTTCAGGTCCTGATCTTTGTCCCATCCACTCACTCCCTGGGTGAAATCATCAAGTTCCACAGTCATGAATACTCTCTGACGTCCCAAAATCATACCTCCAGCCCTAACCTCGTCCATGAATGTCAGACTCATCAATTCAGCTGCCTGCTCAGCATCTCTATTTGATTTCACAACATAACTCTTGATTCCTCATAACCTGCTCTGCACCCCTGCACGCCACCCCACCCCCGTCTTTCTTCTCCTAGTCAATGTTAGCTCCATTCTGTAGATCAAAACCCTGACCATCGCCCTGGCTGGTTTGGCTCAGCGGTTAGAGTATTGGCCTGCGGTCCGGAGAGACCCCGGTTCAGTTCCCGCTAAGGGCACGTACCTCGGTTGCAGTTTGTCCCCGGCCCTGGTTGTTCGTGCGGTTGCAGCCACTCGATGTGTCCCTTTCACATCGATGTTTCTCTCTCTCTCTCCCTTCCTCTCTCTCCCTCCCACTCTATCTGTACAAAAAATAGAAAAATGTCCTTGGGTGAGGATAAACAAAACAAACAAACAAAAAAAAAACAAAACAAAAAAAACCCAAAAACCCTTGACCATCATCTTGAATTCTTTCTTTCTACCACACAGCGCGTTCACCTCATCAGCCAGGCCCGTTCCCACAGCTCACCACCTTCACTGCCGTCCTAGTCCGGGCTCCCAGGCCTGCCTTCCTCCCCCACTGTCACCATCACAGTTTATGCTCCTTACATTAAAGAAAAGAAAAAATAAATCTTATTCTGGCTGCTGTAAATTAGATCATTTGACTCACAAAATATCCCCAGGTCCTCGCCGTAGCCCCCTAGATCTGTATAATATCGGGACCATCTCTTCCGCCGTTTCCCCTGCGGACTCAGTCCGCCAGCAGCACTGCCCCTGGCTGCTCCAAGCACAGCGCTGCCCACGGCTGTCAGGGCCCTCGGCCCTCGTGCTGCTGTGTTGGACCCTCTGAAGGTGCGGTTCCTTCAGCCGCTTCATTCACGCCTCTGCTGCACCACCCGCTACGGGACAGGCTTCTTGTGTCCCCTCTGTCTAAACACGAAATAAACACCTCCCTGTCGTTTTCTGTCCCCCACCTTATTTTTCTTTTTAGTGATTATCACCACCTAACAAATTACTCGAATGTGTATGTGTGTAAGTTGCTAAGTGATGTGAAATTAATGAAATGATTTTCTACTGTGTATCCAGATTTGTCATAAAACAACTAATGAGAGAGGGAGAGGGAGGAAGGAAGGGAGGAAGGGAGGAAGGGAGGAAGGGAGGGAGGGAGGGAGGGAGGGAGGGAGAGGGAAGGAAGGAAGGAAGGAAGGAAGGAAGGAAGGAAGGAAGGAAGGAAGGAAGGAAGGAAGGAAGGAAGGAAGGAAGGAAGGAAGGAAGGATCTTGGTTGTGAATGTGTCGCAGACCCTGGTCCTAATGTCCTGTTTTGCCTTTTCTCCAGCCCACCCTTTTCTGGGACTGACCAAATGATGACCTACAATTTGATTCTCAAAGGAATTGAAAAAATGGATTTTCCCAGAAAAATAACAAGAAAACCTGAGGATTTGATTAGGAGGCTTTGCAGGTGAGAATGACAGAAACATTTTATTCCTGGGGAAAGTGTGAAGGCTTCTTATTTCTATTTCCGTGCATTTTAAATTAGGTATATATTTATTTTTTGTATTTATCTCTGTAGCCAAATTATAATTAAAGGAAATCATTTTCTGTTTTGCAGTCTATGCTGGGAGTTCAAGTTTACCTTATGTTACAGATTCATAGAACTTTCTTATAAAAGAGATTTAAATTTCTAGGTCACTTCAGGAATCATCCTTATCTGTTATAGAGCAAAATGGAACCACAAACCTTAGCAGTGAAGTGACTTATGACCCAGAGATTCCAAGGGATAATTAATTTGCAATCTTGTTATTTTGAGAGAAAGTTAGTGGTGATGATAAAGTCTTACTATATGCCCTCTTTCAATCTTTTTTTTTTTTAAAGTACTCTTCTGGCCTTATTTTATTTTATTTTTATTGAGGTATGACTGGCATGTCATATTACATTAATTTCACATGTACATTGCAGTGATTGATATTCACAAACACTTCAGAATGATTACCACAATAAGCTTAGTTATCATTCATCACCATACAGTTACAAGAAAAAAATTTTTTCTTGTGATGAGAACTTTTAGGATTTACTCTCTTGGCCACTTTTAACTTCTCACTACAATATTATTGACTATAGTAACCATGCTGTAAATTACATCACCATGACTTATTTATTTTATCATTAGAAGTTTGGACCACTTGACCTCATTCACCTGTTTTGTCCATCCCCACTCCTCCTCCCCAATGGCAACCACTATTTTGTTCTCTGAATCTTTGAATTTTGTTCTGTTTGTTTATTTGTTTTCTTGTTAGATACCACATGTTAGTGACACCCTACAGTATTTGTCTTTCTCTGTTGGACTTATTTCACTTATAATACCTTTAAGTTCCATCCAGGTAGTTGTAAATGGCAAGATTTCATTTTTTATGACTGAGTAGTACTGCATTATATAAATATAGGACATCTTTAATCACTCACCCACTGATGGACACTTAAGTTGTTTTGATAGCTTGATTATTGTAAATAATATTGCAGTGAACCTAGGGGTGCATGTGTCTTTTTCAAGTTAGTGTTTTTATTTCTTTGGATAAATACCTAGAAGTGGGATTGTTGGATCATATTGTAATGATATATTAAATTTTGGGGGAAATCTCCATACTGTTTTCCATAGTGGTTGCACCAACTTACATTTCTAATGACAATGTACAAGGGTTCTCCTTTCCCTACATCCTTGAAAACACTTGTTATTTGTTGGATTTTTGATAATAGCCATTTTAACATGTGTGAGGTTTGTGGTTTTGATTTGCATATCTCTGATGATTAATTATGTTGAACACCTTTTTATGTACCTGTTGGCCATCTGTATGTCTTCTTTGGAAAAATGTCTATTTAGATTTGCCCATATTTTATTTGGATTTTTGTTTGCTGTCAAGTTGTATGAGTTCTTTATATAATTTGGCTATTAATTCCTTATCAGATATATGATTTGCAAATATTTTCTCCCATTCAATAGGTTGCCTTTTCATTTTGTTGATGGTTTCCTTTGCTGTGAAAGAGCTTTTTAGTTTGATGTAGTTCCATTTATTTATTTTTGCCTCTGTTGCCTTTGCTTTTGGACTCAGAATCAAAAAACTTACCAACAAGACTAATGTCAGGAAGCATACTGCCTATGTTTTATTTAAGGATTTTAAGGATTTCAATTCTTACATTCAAGTCTTTAGTCCACTTTATTATTATTATTATTATTTTGTATGATGAAGGATAGTAGTCTAGTTTCATTCTTTTGCACATGGCTGTCTAGTTTTCCCAGCACCATTTATTAAACAGACTGTCCTTTTCTCGTAGTATATTCGTGCCTCCTTTGTCATAAATTAATTGTACATTTATATGTGGGTCTCTTTCTGGGCTCTCTACTCTGTCCCATTGATCTGTGATTCTATTTCTATGCCAATATTATTCTGTTTTGATTACTGCAGTTTTGTAATATACTTTTAAATCAGGGAGCATGATGCCTTTAGTTTTGTTTTCTCAAGATTGTTTTGACTATTTGGGGTCTTTTGTGGTTACCTACAAATTTTAGGAAGGTTTGTTTTATTTCTGGGATTTTGACAGGGGTTGCTTTGTGTAATACAGACATTTTAACAGTATTAATTTTTTGAATTCATGAGCACAGAATATCTTTTTATTTGTGTCTTCTTTAATTTTTTTTATCAATATCTTACAGTTTTCAGTGTATAGCTTTTTCACCTTCTTGGCTAAACTTATTCTCAGGGTATTTTATTCTTTTCAATGCAATTGTAAATGGGATTTTTAAAATTTCTCTTTCTGATAGTTTGTTATTAATGTATAGAAACACAAGACATTTTAGTCTTGGTTTTCTCTATATAAAATTATGTCATCTGTCAATAGTGACAGTTTTACTTCTCCCTCTCCAGTAAGGAGGTCTTTTTCATTTCTTTTTTTTTTTTGCCTAATTGATCTGGCTAGGATGTCTAATGCTATGTTGACTGAAAGTCATGAGAGTGGATAGCCTTGTCTTGTTTCTGCCCTTGGAGAAAAAACCTTAAGCTCTTCACTATTGAGCGTAATGTTAGCTGTAGGCTTGTCACATAGGGTCTTTATTATGTTGAGGTTCATTCTTTATACCTGATTCTTTTGAAAGTTTTTTTAAATTTTTTTTTATAAATGGATGTTTAATTTTGTCAAATGCTTTTTGGATCTGTTGAGATAATTATGTGATTTTTACCCTTCAATTTTTTAATGTGGTGTTTCACAGAGATGGATTTTCAGGTGTTGACCCATCTTTGTCTCACTGGAATAAATCCCACCTGATCATGGTGTGTGTTTTGTTTGCTAATATTCTATGGAAGATTTTTACATCTATGTTCATCAGGGATATTGGCCTGCAGTTTTTATGCATGTGTGTTCTTGTCTGGTTTTGACCCTATAACACGAGTTTGGAAGCATTCCCTTCTTTTCAATTTTTTGAAGGACTTTGAGGAGTATAGATATTAAATGTTCTGTTTAAATGTTTGGTAGAATTCATCTTTGAAGCCATCTGGCCCTAGATTTTTGTTTGTTGGGAGGTTTTTGATTACTGATTCAATCTCCTTACTAACAATCAGTTTATTCAGATTTAATATTGTTTTTATGATTCAGTCTTGGAATATTATATGTTTCTAGGAATTTATCTGTTTCTTCTGGTATCCAACGTGTTGGAATATAGTTGTTCATAGCATCTCTTATGATCTTTTGCATTTTTGTAGTTTCAGTTGTAGCTTCTCTTTTGTTTCTGATTTTATTTATTTGAGCTATTTTTCTTTTTTTTGTGGTAAGTCTAGCTAAAGATATGTTAATTTTGTCTGTTCATAGAACCAGCACTTAATTGTTTTGTTGGTTTTTTGTTAATCTTCACTGGAGGATGTTTATTCCATTGCTTTTTTTTTTTTTTAAGAGCGAGTTGAAGGAAGGGAGGGAGGGGGAGAGAGAGAGGAGAGAGAGAGAGAAAGAAAGAAAGATCCATGTGAGAAAGACACATTGGTTGGTTGCTTCCTCCATGTGCCCCAACCAAGGCCAGGGATCAAACCTGCAACCCAAGAATGTGCTCTTGACTAGGAATCAAACCCACAACCCTTTGGGGCCATGGGCTGATGTTTGAACCTCTGAGCCACCCTGGCCAGGGCAAACCAGTGTTTAGTTTTGTTGATATTTTTCTATTGTCCTTTTAGTCTCTATTTCATTTTTTTCTTTCTTTCTTTCTTTTTTTTTTTTTTGCTTTGGTCTTTATACTAACTTTCTTTCTACTAACTTTCTACTAACTTTCAGCTTTGTTCTTCTTTTGATAGTTTCTTTAGGTATAAAGTTAAATTGTTTATTTAGGATTTTTTTGTTTCTTGAGGAAGGCCTGTATCACTATGATCTTCCCTCTTAGAACTGATTTTCTTTCATCTTATGGATTTTGGTAAGTTGTATTTTCATTTTCATTTGTCTCAAGATATTATTTATTTCTACTTTAATTTCTTCATTGACCCATTGGTTTTTCAGTAGTATGTTGTTTACTCTCTACATATTTATAATTTTTTCAGTTTTTTTTTGTACTTGATTTCTAGTTTTATTTATTTATTTAATCCTCACCTGAGGACATTTTTCCATTTTTTGTTCAGATAGTGTGGGAGGGAGAGGGAGAGAGAGAGAGAGAGAGAGAGAGAAACATCGACATGAAAGGGACACATCGAGTGGTTGCCACCCATATGACCCAACCAGGGCCGGGGACAAACTGCAACCGAGGTACATGCCCTTAGCGGGAACCAAACCCGGGTCTCTCTGGACCGCAGGCCGATGCTCTAACCACTGAGCCAAACCGGCCAGGGCTGATTTCTAGTTTTGTATCATTGTGGTTGGAAAAGATACTTGATATGATTTCAGTCTTCTCTAAATTCATTGAGACTTGTTTTGTGCTCTAACATATGACCTATCCTGTAGAATGTTCCATGTGCACTTGAGAATAATGTGTATTCTGCTGCTTTTGGATGGCATTTCTGTGTATATCTATTAAGTTGTCTGGTCTAACATGTCCGCTCTGTGGACTGCCCGCGCCTGCTGGCTTTAGCAAGGCAGTGGGAGAGTGCGGGGCCAGGGCCCACCTGCTGGCTCCTGGGAGGCTGTGGGAGAGCTCTGGGTGGGGTGGCTCACTGGCACTGTCCAGGTAAAGGGAGAGACAAAAATGGCACCTGCCAGCACCTCCATCCTGGAGAGTCTAAACAGACTCCTGTCTCTCCAGCAGACACTTTAAGATTAGCAAATGAATCTCCTTTGCTCAGTCCACATGCTTTTCAAACTGCTACTTTAGTGCTGGTTCCTGGGCAAATGAGTCTGTGTGGCAGTCCTTAGCAGAAGTATCTCAGCTCCCTATAGCCCACTAAGTCTCCTGAACATGAGCCTTGTTGATTTTCAAAGATAGACATTTGGGGGGCTCATCTCTCTATTGAGGGTCCCAAGGCTGGGGGTGACTGATGTGAGGTATGAACCCCTCGCTCCTCAGGAAGAAGAATCGGATTTGTGAGATCCCTCCTGATTGTTGGTTGCCATGCTGGGGGTGGAGTTTTTGGTGAGACTTTCTCTGCCTCTCCTACCTGCCTTCAAGTGGCCCTTTTACCATTTGTTGTGAGGGAGCTGTTCTGCTAGTTTTCTGGTCTTTTTCAGAAAGAATTGTTTTACATGTAGTCATAGATTTGGTGTGTTCATGGGAAGAGGTGAGTTCAGGTTCTTCCTACATGGTCATCTTGGACCATGCCTCTGGCTTTATTATCAATTACTCAAAATTTCTATTTACCATTAAAAATAATGTATTGGAGAATAGAAGAGTTATATAATTTTGTTTGAACTTTACTTTGTTGCTGTTTTGTTCACACATTTAAACTTTTTTTTAAGCATTAAAATTTAATAAACATAAAACATGAAACCTAGCTGTGGGTTGCCAACAAAGATGTCTCAAGTTTCCAGCTGAGGTGTAAATGACTTTCTAAAGCTTCTCCTGAATTTCTCAGCAGAGTTTGTGAAATAACCCCCTCCTGTTCTTTCACATATTCATTTCTAGTGCATTTAAAGTGCTAGGAGATATATAGATATAGATAGAAATATAGATATGTGCATAAAGATAGAAATATAGGTACATATGGATATAGATACAGACATATTCCTAACTCTAATTTCACTGTAGCTCCCCTAGAGAAGGGCATGTGTTTTTTAACCCCCCTCTATTCAAATGTCTAGTCTATAATATTGTTGAATAAATGAGTGAATGAATGAATGAAGAAATGTTAAATTTTAATTTAAAATGTACTCAAGCATAATTATTATAAACCATCTTCTAAAAAATTATTATTTTAGGCAAAATCCAACAGAAAGGCTGGGAAATCTGAAGAATGGGATCAATGACATTAAGAAACACAGGTACATAGTTACTTCTTTGTCCAGAAAAATATGTAAATTTATAGAAAACTGTGGTGATCTTGAACCTTCTCTCAGTAAGCTGCACCTGTTCCTTTACAGGCTCTCAGTGTTCACTTTTTGGCCCTTTGTATTTCATTGTGCTTTATAGACCCAGCCACAATGATCGTTCTCAGAATGACTTCTCCGGTGCCGGAACTTTGTATGACAATGGATGAAGTTTAAATAAGTTATACAATCCCTTATTCAAGTTATAGCAACTTAGGTTTTCATCCACAGCTATCTTTATTTTTATTTTTAAATGTCAACCTGGAGTCTGTAAATGAATTCTTCTAATTTTCACATTAGATTTATAATTAAAGTACAATATAGTATTGCCAGTATTCAAGAGAATGGGTTGGCTAAATTAACTATAAATAGTATTGCATTTCAGTTTTTTTTTACTAATATTATACATTTATTTTAAATATAAATTTCCTTTGACTAGCTTTCCAAATTCTGAAGCCTCAAGTTGTATTTTACTTTTTGGGTAAAGTCCATTGATTTCCACAAAACCTCAAACAATGTTTTATCCTTGTGCAGTACTCTAACATGAACCTCTTCATTTCTGTGAAATTCTAAATCTGTCCTTTAGAACCATGGAGAACTTCCACAGATATCCTTTCTTAATTGGTTACATATGTGGAGTTCAAGCTTTTAAGATCTTTTTTTCTCAAATTGATGCCTAGCTAAATCCTGTAATCCTCAACATGTTTTAATTCTGCTTATGATTTAGAGATATAATACATCACCTATTGCTGGCACAAAAATAACATTTGAGAATTTCATTATTGAAAATCTTTGAGTACACTGATGTGTTTGTTCACTTTTAGAAATGAAAACACCTCTCACTATTGCATTTCTCTCTGGATATTTTTACTGAAGAATTTAGGGCACACCAACACAGTGTGAAAATAAAGAGAGAGATACTGCTGGATAGAAACACTATTCATTTTTCCTAACATTGGTGGTGCAGCTGCCAACCCCGCTCTATCTATTCATGAACTTTCTTGAAATAAAGCCATGCATTCAACATTGTAAATTCATAGAGGGCTTTGCCTTAAGGGAGTATTAGGGAAGGAGAGAGGGAGGGAGGGAGGGAAGAAGGGAATGAGGGAGAGAGGGAGACACATCTGTGGATTTTATAGACATTAAAATGTGTAGAGTATTTTATCGTTCTGTGTCATCCTTTGGATTTCCTTCAGTGTAAAGTTTATTACTTGTCTTAGATCCCAATTTATCTTTCTTCCTACAAGCTGTTATTCAATTTCTTATCTCATTATAGCATAACACATAAACACACCATTCATATGGAACAAACAAGTGTTCTGTCAATTAAAGTTATCCTTTCGATATTTCCCTTCATTTCATTACAAACGTATCTTCCTGTTTTTCTTTGGAATAATTGGGAAATAGAGTGATAGAAGTGTTAATAGGCTCCAGTTTTGTCTTTTACTTCTTATTTACCTGAGGCTCATTTAAATGTAGCTGTCAGGTTGTGATTGGGGGTGCATGTAAATTGACAGAGAGAATTTCCTCACCTTAGCATGGTAAGGAAGAGTTTTGCATTTTCTTCCCTGTAGAGATGACTTTACCCACTCTTTTGAACAAGCAGGATGTTTTTCTGCCACTTATCTGTAGAGTCAGAATACAATGTGTAGGGCAGAGTTCACTAGTGAGAAGTGCCAACTGTAGACAATGCCTTATGGTAAACCCAGAGGGGCCAAAACCCTTATTTTATCCTATTTTCATAGTGTTTATGAAGATATAAAGTTGAGGAAGAGATCTTGCTCTGCCTTCAGGTAGGATAGTCTAAAAGCTTCCACAAGCCCCCAAAGTAAATAGCTTCTCTACTTCTTTATATTCTTGGAATTAAAAAAAAAAAAACCTTCTAAAATTTGCCATTGGATTTTTCCATTCTTCTCTAAAGTGAAACTTTTATTTTTTTCTTAGGGAACTGTTCACTTTAACTTTGTATTTAAAAACAATGCAGTAAAACATGGCGTATTGTTATCCGTTTGCCCATTCTTAAATCCTCTTTCCTAAAAATAGAGTTCCTCCCTTCCCTATTTATGAGCTAACATTCAAACTAGGCACCAATTATGTCTCCCAGTACTTCTCTGAAAAAAAAAAAAAAAAGAGATAATATACGTGTAGGGTACAATGAAACCTTTCCTGCTAGGTAGAGGAATAATGTGTTTCCAGTGTCTTCAGGTTACCTTTAATATTTCTAGTCTCTAAATTACTTTCAAGAACAGCTTCTACAAATCTCCTAAAGATGAAACAGCACTTTATGTGCTGTTGCTGCCCCATTTCTTTGGTGAATGGTTTTCACACCAGTGCCTGCTGGCTTTTGCATCACTTCAAATGTGGTCAGTGTCAAAAGGCCAGGTGTTAAGTGAATACCCACTCACGTCAAGTAAATATTGCCTTAAGTCAGATTGTAACAAGTACTCTCCCAGAAATGCATAGGCTCTTTGATTCAGTAGAGTAACAGTAATGATTTTTATTAATATTTATGGAGGAGCTTCTGGGAAGAGAGCATTGTAAAATATGTTAAAAGGAATTGTGGCAGTATTTGGTATCAAAGGAAAAGAATCCACAGAACCATGAGCCTGGAAATCCCTGAAATGGAGCATCAGGCTGTGCAAAGAAGCTGATGGGCGGATCAGGGAGGGGACTTCCGTGGTTTCTGTAGCAAGGACAAGGGGGGCCGTACAGCTGGGGTTGCTGTCTGATTCCCAGTCTTTGGCTGCTGTCTCAGTAGCTTATACCAAAATGGCAGTTGGGGTTCAGGATGCCACCTGAGATGGAATGCTCTAGAACCTGTCCTCTGGTTTTTGTGTTTTTTCTCTTCCTAAGTTTAGACTTGGTATGGGAAGTCCAGTCAGGGATTGAACCAAAACCAACTCCAGGGGTGAAAGCGATTGAGAAGGGTGGAAGAGGGTAATTTCTGGTATGTCCACCAGATGGAGGAATGGGATGCCTCCTCCAGTCTCCTGCCTCCAGCCTGCCCCGCCCTGCCCCATGCTGCCCGCTGTGGCCACAGAGCCGCCAGAGTTATCTTTTGAAAATACATCTCCGTGGCATCATTTACTTAGAACTTTCTAATGGCCTCTCACTTTGTATAAAACTCTGTTTCCTTACTGTGTCCTACAAGGCCTTACATGACCTGGCCTCTGGCCATTTTTTCAGATGCCATTTTTGTCTAGCTTCCCCTGCATTCACCACACTAAAGCGCATTGCTTTTATTCCATGCACTTGGAAGGCTCTTGCCACATGGCTTCCCATGGTTCTCCTCTTCTTTGCATTCTGGCCTTAATTCAAATATCCTTTCTTCAAATACCACCCTCACTGAAAACAGCCCTTCCACCCGTCCACATCCCGGTCATGATCCACCACTTAGTACTACTAGTGTCGAAAACTAACTTAAGTATTTATATTGTTTACTTGTTTTTTCTTCTTCTTCTGTCTGTCACCTTTCACCAAAATAAAAACATCTAAAAAGCAGGATCGACATCTGGGACCAAATTGAATTTTGATAGCTTTTTGTTGGCTGCCTGACCTGACATCAGTGTCCCAATAGAAGAGATCAGTGGATCTAGAACAGTATTATTCTGTGTTCCTTATAAGATCTCAAGAGACTGAGTCCATCTGAGTGTTGTGTTTCCAGCCCACCAAGCTTTACTGTATCCTGAAGACCAGATCATCATCTGACCATCAGCTTAATCCCATTATAGATTGCTGTAAAGTGTTTTTTAATCTTGGAGACATTTAGATTCATATGACCAGGAGTGTCACCACCATGGTGTGATGTTGCAGGTGCTATAGTAATAGGTCCTGTGTATGTTTTCTTGCAGAATCATTCAGTTATTCAGAAGGCATATATTGAGCCCCTGTTCTGTGTCAAGTGTTAGGGACACAGAGGAAAGGAAACAGACAAAAAACACTGCCTCATGGAGCTTCTTTCTATTGGGAAAGACAGAAAACAAACAGTATAATTAAATAAAGTACATAGTAAATTTATTAGATAGCAGTAAGTGCTAAGGAGAAAGAACAAAGCAGGCAAGGAAGATAGAAAGTATGTGCGGGTGGGATGGGAAGGACTTGCAATGGTAGACTAGTGGCCAGAGAAGGCCTCACTAAGACGACCTTTGAGAAAAGACTTGAAGATGTTGAGGAAACAAATCATATGGAAATTTAGGGAAAAAAACAACTAGCCAGAGGGCCTTGAGCACGAAGGTGTTAAAGTAGGAGCACCCCTGGTTTATTGGAACAATGGCAAGGAGATGAATGAGCAAGGAAGGGAGAAGAGAAACGCAGGAGACAGTGGTAACGTGAGAGAGGATGGACAGGGTGACTTTGCAAGGCCTTATGGCTTATAGTAAAGACATGGTAAGGACTTTGCCTTTCACACTGAGTGAAATGAAAAATATTGGAGAGTCCTGAACAAAACCATGGGACCTGAATTATGTTTTAAATGATCACTCTTGCTACTGGGCTGTTTCCCACAGACAAAAGCAGGAGGACCCATTAGTTATTGTAATAACACAGACAAGGAATAACAGTGGGTTGGCCCATGCAGGTAGTGGAAGGGTGTTGAGAATTTGTCATATTCTAAATATAGGCATGTTTTACAGGTAACACTGACAAGATTTGCTTATGGAATGAGCTAGGATGTAAGCGAAAGGATAGCTTCAAGGTTTTTGGTTTAAACAATTGGAAGAGTTAAGGCAAGTTGGTTGGGGAAAATTTGGAACTCCAGTGTGGGCCTGATTGATACATGCGGATGCCTGGTAGACACTCAGCTGGAAGATGATAAACAGGTATTGTCTGCAAAGCAATGGAGAAGTCTTGGTTAGAAATATAGATACCTGGGAGTAACCAGTATAGAAGTGCTATTGGAAGCCACAAGACTGAATGAGATTACCCAGGAATGAGAGTACTGAAAAAGGAGGAGTCCAAGGACTAAGCCCTGTATTCCATCAAATTCCCATGGGAATAGCAGTGGGAATAAGGTCAAGCACTCAAGAAGGCAGGAAGAAAGCCAGGACAATAGCATGTCCCAAAAGCCAATGAAGGAGGGTTTCAGGGAGTGGGAATGATGAACTGTGGCAAATGCTCCTAACAAGTTAAGATGAAAATTGAGAGCTGACGGAATTCAGTGGAGAGGAGAGTGTGAAACCTGACTGTAGTGTGATCAGGAGAAATGGGTAAATAGAGGGAGCAGATAACGCTCTCAGGGAGTTGTCCTCCAATGGAAGGAGAGAGATGGAGTGAGGGTTGGAAGGGAGCTCAGGTCCAAAGAGAGTGTTTTGTGGTTGGAAGAAATAGAATGTTTCCATAGTGATGAGAGTGGTCCAGCAGAGAGGATGTTAAGATTCAGGAGGAAAAATTTCAGGAGCCTGACTTTAAATAGAGAAGAGTCTATGGGATCAATTACACAGAAGAGGAGTTGACCTTAGTTAGAAGCAAAGGTAGTTATACCATGGCACTGGATAGAAGGGTACATACAGTTGTGAGTAGGTAGGCAGGTATGCTGGTGGAAGATTGTGGAAGTCTCTTTTTTGCTTCAGTTTTCTCAGTGAAAAAGGAAGCCAGGTCATCATTTGGGAGTGAGGATGGGAAGGAGGTTGTGGAAGTTTGAAGAGAGAAGACAGAAGATTCTGAATCGAAGGTAGTGTGACAATGAGTGGAACCACAGGGAAACCTAGACTGGTTACTGGGCAGTATTAGGGGCTTCTTGGGGTTAGTGGGCATAGCTTTAATGCGAGACCAGACAACCAGCATGGTTGAGTATTTTCCTCTGACCACATTGCTGGCAGGGAGCAGACAACAAAATGGATTGACTGGCATGCTAATAGTTTTCAGGCAAATGATATTTCTCTGTGTTTTGCTCATTTCTTAGGTGGTTAAATGGTTTTAATTGGGAAGGACTGAAGGCACGGACCCTTCCATCACCTTTACAAAGAGAGGTATGGTATCCACAATATTATTCTCATAACTTCTTTTAGGTATTTGTTTTTGTAAACAGATTTTAGGTATACATGTGTATAACAGATCTTAGATTTTTTTAATTGTTTTTTAAAAATTAAGTTAAAATGTCATAATGGTTTTAATTGTAGGGACTAAATAGTATTACCTACCTGATGAGCATTAACTCAGCTCTCAGAAATCACTAATGTGTAAATCTAAGTCCCCAAGTTGTCAGTGTTAGGCTCATAGATGGCTCTAGGAATATAGTACGAACCATATAAGTAGCTTGGAATGTTCTAGTAGCCATGTTAAAGAGGCAAAAAGAAATAGGTGAAATTAATTTTAATTAATATCCAAAATATCATCACATCAATATATAATCAACATAACATATTAATGAGAAGTTAGTTATTTTTTTTATTTCTTTTTTCTTTTTTGTAATCTCAAGTGGATTTTATAACATGTATTTTGCAACATGTATCAATTCAGCCTAGCTACATTTCTTTTCTTTTTTCATTTTTTAATTCATTATTTATTTATTTAATCCTCACCGGAGGACATTTTTCTATTTTTTTTGTTCAGACAGAGTGGGAGGAAGAGAGAGAGAGAGAGAAACATCCATGTGAAAGGGACATATCCAGTGGTTGCCACCCACACGACCCAACCAGGGCCGGGAACAAACTGCAACCGAGGTACATGCCCTTAGAGAGAACTGAACCCGGGCCTCTCTGGATCATAGGCCAATGCTCTAACCACTGAGCAAAACCAGCCAGGGCTCTTTTTTCATTTTGATTGATTGATTTTTGTTACAGATGTTTCTCCTTTTTTCCCCATTGACATCCTCCTCCCCGCTCCCACCCCTCACCTTCACAGTATTGTTGTCTGTGTCCATTGGTTATGTATACATGGGTCAACACCTTACAAACTCTAGCTGTGTTTTTTCTAGAGGAATTTTGAAGATCTATGGTATATTTTTAGATTGATATCTGAATTTTTCTATTATACATTTAAATTGTAGACAATATAATTTCTAATATTTTGAAAATATTGACATCTTAAAGTACAACACTACTGTTACTTCACCCCTTTAAATATATCCAATAGATCATTAAGATTTGATACCAGTGATTAAACAATACAGACAGGTACCTGGCTGGTGTGACTCAGTGGATTGAGTGTCAGTCCCATGGACTGAGAGGTCCCACTTCAATTCCTGATCAGGACACATGCCCAGGTTGCAGGCTTGATTCCCAGTAGGGGGCATGCAGGAGGCAACCAATCAGTGTTTCTCTTTCACATTGATGTTTCTATCTCTCTTTCCCTTCCTCTCTCTCTAAAAAATCAATATAAACATAAAAAAATATATAGACAGAAATATTACATCATTTATTTCTCTCTCTGAATTCTAATGTTCATATTTCCATTCCATTTCCTTTCAAAATGTCATTCCAATGTAAAATTTTTTTTATGCTTGGCAATTGTTAATCAATCATTCTTTAAATGCCTTTCAATTATAGTTTTATAAATTTTAAAATTCCTGTGACCACCAAAATTTCTGTAGCCCCACAAATATTTCTTCTGGATTCAGTTGTAATTACATTTTTTATAGCATGCAGTATCAAACAACATAAATATATAATAAGATTTTAAAGGAATTATTAAACAATATTTGTAAAGAAAATATTTAATGTGCCTGTGGATAAATTTCATTTACTTAAAAAATGGACTCAGACCCCACATCACTTTTATTTCTTTTTAAAATTATGTAGATACAAGTGCTAAGAGTTGTGTTTGCATAAATAAATGGGAGCAGAGGTTTTTTTTAAAAAAATTTTTTTCTGTATTGATTTTTAGAGAAGAAGGGAGAGAGAGAGAGGGAGAGAAACATCGATGAAAGAGAACATCGATTGGCCACCTCCTGCATGCCCCCCACTGGGGATCGGGCCCATAACCTGGGCATGTGCCCTGACCAGGAATCAAACCGATGACCTTGGTGCATGGGTCGATGCTCAACCACTGAGCCACACTGGCTGAGCGGGAGCAGAGGGTTTTACAATGGCAGTGTCACTTTGAACAGCTGAGTGGTCTCCCCACCCTCCCACAAACAAGTTATACTCTATTATAATTAGTATTTTAATGGTCCATCAGCTTATAACTCAATTAGGTACTTCTTACATTTGTTGGAAAGTAAAGAATTAAAAACCATCTAATTTGTCACTTTCAGCAGCGTCAATGGTATTTTGAATTGTCCCTTCATTTGGCATTCTGGAAATGTTATGTGGTCAGCTAACCATATAAAAATTCAAGGTTGGTGGGACGCTTTCATAAAGTAAAAGGATTCTGGAAAATTTTGATTTTTTTTTTTAAGTATCTGATTTTAAGATATTTTTTATTTTGAAAAAATAATAGACATAGTTTTTGTCACTTTTTCTTGTGGAAATACTCATCAGTCCAAGTAGTTTCCATTGAATGTAATCCAGTGACCCATCCATTTGGAGATTTCGTGAGGCTGAGTGTGTGACTCAAAAATGACAGTTGGTCATCTCCTCCTCTTATCTAACTTACCAGTAGTTGCAATTTAAAATCTGTGTTCAGATATGGAAAGCATTACCCATATGTAATAGCATGCTTAGTCAACATCATCCTCACCTTTGCTTTAATCCTTTCTCTGTTAGCTCAAGGGACCCACAGATCATAGCTACTTCGACAAGTACCCTCCTGAAAAGGGAGTGCCTCCAGATGAGCTGTCGGGCTGGGACAAAGACTTCTGACAGAAAGAAAGAAAAAAAAGGTTATCACTGCCTATCTACTACAGAAGAGGACTGTGAACACCAATAATCCAATACTGAGTATTTCTCTCATTGGCGTGTTGTGATATCTGTTGGAAGACCATTAGGGAAAAGAAATCCCTGCCCACCAGCTGGGGTGGATGATAGTGGTAACAGAAGTGGTTCTGAATTATAATGTCTTATTTAGATGCTGTGAATTACTCAAAATTTTTATTCTTTGCTTTTCTCAAATGTTGAAGGCTATTCTATTCTCCTCTCTACAGTCAGAACCATTTTTGTTGAAAAGGCATAGTGTCCTCTGCAGTCTATTGCTCCATCCTGATCATACTCACCTCCTTTGAGTCCTAATAAGGTTTAAAAAGCATCTTGCCCTTGAGCAACAAAGTCATGCAAACAGTATCAAGAACAAAGGTGAATTCTGGAAGATTTTTCCTGCTCTCAACAGCTCCATGTAAGCATTGTGGCATCTTAAGTGGTGGTTTGCAGAAATCTTGGTAGTCAAAAGAGGCTCTTGACTTTTACTTGTGTTCAGCCTAGAAATATATTAAGGTGCTTCTGATATTAGTCTGGGGGAAAGCAAGTTTGAGTATTTAGTCAGTGGTACTGCTCCCTAAATAAATGAGTTGATTAATCCAATAAGGTAATTATGTTCTGTTAGGGAACTTAGAAAAAATAAACAAAGCAAAAAATATTTTCCATTCTCCTGTGACCAGCTGTGATACCTCAGAGACTTTCCAAAGCCTTGTTAAAAATGGTTTTAATGTGCAATTAAGTGATGGACTTTTGAAAAGGTTTCATCTTATAGACGATATAGTTTTACAATCAAAGTCAAAATCATGCAGGAACAAAATTGTGAAGGCTTTTTCTTTCCATTAAATGTGGAAGAGAATGAAGTCTGATAGATAAGGTTGCTGACTCTTTGAAACTCTGAGATATTTTGGGCAGTTCTGTGATTTTGCTGTTAATAAACCAAGAGGATAGACTAACCAGAATTAATTTTTAATGTGATTGCATTGGTAAATGTTGATGCACTGTAATCACTGCTGTGTTCTCTTTGTAAAGACATCTGAGTCATGATGTGTTTATAATTTTAGACTGTTGAGGCAGGCAAGCCGCTGGAGAAGTGATGGGACTTTAGAAGTAACTGTGTCATCTAGCATCTACCCGCTTCCCGTCTCCTCCACGCAGTCTTCCAAATAACGAAGAGAGTAGTTTCCATAGCATTGGCTGCCAGTACCTAAGAACTTTGCTAGTAAACGTTTCTAAGTATCAACCATGATCACTTCCTCACCCTCCTTCCAAAATAGATAGGAAGCAGACTTTCTCTGTATCTTTTTGATCTGGCAGAGTAAAAATACCAGCTCAGTTATTTCATTATTCAAGCTTCTGGTTATATTTTTATATGCAAATGTCCTATGGGAATAGGAGCCTCAACCCACACTCCACCCATATTTTCTTCATTCAAAGAAAGTCAGCTACATGCTTCCTGAAGAATTAAACCAGATAAGAGAGGTCCAACCCAGGAAGGTGCATTCTTAACAAATTGAATTTCCACATTTAGAATCCTTTTGCTGAACCAAAGAGTTTTTGTTTCCTGGAATAGTATTTTTAAAGATTATGTATTGTACATAGAAAAAACATTTTTAATAGGATCAACATAACCCGCTTAATAAATTTCTAAGATTTTTAAAAGATTTTTATTTGCATTTGGTTTGTAAGCACTGTATGTTTTACCATGTATATATTTTAAATGACCCACCTAAATGAGGTAATTTATGTATTGGGTGGATATTACAATTGTACAGTTATCATAGCAATGATATTCTCAAAGGAGATCAAGAGTTGCAATTCAAGAAAGACCTACATATATACAAATAAAAACTGACTTAGACTACTACAGGTATTTTTTCTGTTACTGGCCATATCAATATGTAATATTCACATGTGATTTTATTGTGTTTCTCTAGCATATTTAAAGAAATGATAGCTTGAACCACTGTATAACCCCAATTCCACTCTTTCCTAGCTGGGTGACCTTGGGAAATGACTTTACTTCTTTGAGTACTAGCTTTCTCACCTGTAGAAAACGTCACAGTAAAGTAATGCCTACTTTAGAGGCCTGCTTGGGGATTAAATAAGATATCTAGAGAGGTTTTTGCATAATCTGTGAAATAATCAGTGCTACATATATGGGAGCTACTGTTATTATCTCAGTTAGAATTAAAAGGTCCTTTCCTGACTGGTGTGGCTCAGCTGGTTGAGCATTGTCCCATGCACCAGGAGGTCACCAGTTCAATTTCCGGTCAGGGCACATGCCCAGGTTGTGGGCTTGATCCCCAGTAGGGGATGTGCAGGAGGTGACTGATTGATATTTCAGGAGCTGACTGATTGATATTTCTCTCTCTCTCTCCCTCTTCCTTTCTCTGAAATCAACAAAACCTTTTTTAAAGGGCCTTAATAACCATTGAGTCCTGAACCTTATGTATCATTTGTATCTGTATGCACAATTGTTTTAATTAAATCCACTATCTACCTTTTCTTTTTTAATTAATTAATTGTTTTATTACAGATGTGCCTCCTTTTTCTCCCATTAACATCTTCTACCTTGCTTCTGCCCTGCCCCTCACCCCCACCTTCACTGCACTGTTGTCTGAGTCCATCGGTTGTGCATATATGCATGTCAGCTCTTTGGTTTATCTCTTCCCACTCCTCCCACCCCCCCTCCCACTGAGGTTTGTCAGTCTGCTTCCTACTTTCATGATTCTGGATCTCTGTAGGTCGACAGCTTATTTTGTTCATTATGTTCCACAAATAAGTGAGATCATGTGGTACTTGTCTTTCTCTGACTGGCTTATTTCACTTAGCATAATTCTCTCCTGCTCCCTCCATGTTGTCTCAAAAGGTAAGAGATCTCTCTTTCTTACAGCTGCATAGTACTCCATTGTGTATATGTACCACAGCTGTTTCTGCTCATCTACTGATGGCACTTGGGCTGTTTTCAGATCTTAACTATTATAAATAGTGCTGCTATGAACATAGGGGTGCATATATTCTTCCTGATTAGTGTTTCAGGCTTCTTAAGATATATTCCAAAAAGTGGGATCACTGGGTCAAACAGCAGCTCCATTTTTCATTTTTGAGAAAACACCATCTTGTTTTCCACAGTGGCTGCATCAGTCTGCATTCCCACTAGCAGTGTGCTAGAGTCTCCTTTTCTCCACATGCTTGCCAGCATTTGTTGTTTGAGGATTTGTTGATGGCGGCCATTCTGACAGGTGTGAGGTGATATCTCACAGTTGTTTTAATTTGCATCTCTCCGATGATTAGAGATATTGAGCATTTTCATATATCTCCTGGCCATTTGTATGTACTGTTTGGAGAATTCTCTATTCAGGCCCTCTGCCTATTTTTTAATTGGATTTTTGTCTTCCTTTTATTGAGTTGTATGAGTACTCTATATATTTTGGTTATTAACCCCTTATCTGATGTATCATTGGCAAATATGTTCTCTTTTCATTTTGATGCTGGTTTCTTTTGTCATGCAGAAGCTTTTTAGTTTGATGTGGTTCCATTTATTATTATTTTTCATTGTTTCTCTTGCCTTAGATGATGTATCAGTGAAAATTCTGGTACATGTGATATCTAAGATTGTGTTGTTGTCTACATTTTCTTCTAGGATTTTTTTGTGATTTCACTAATTACATTTAAGTCTTCTATTCTTGTGTATGGTATAAGTTGGTGGTCTAGTTTCACTTTTTTGCATGAACCTGTCCAATTTTCCCACCAACACCATTTATTGAAGAGACTGTCTTTTCTCCATTGTATGCACTTGTCTCCTTTGTTGAATATTAATTGTGCATACTGACTTGGGTCAATTTCTGTGTTCTCTATTCTATTCCACTAATCTATATGCCTGTTTTTGTGCCAGTACCAGACTGTTTTGATTACAGTGGCTTTGTACTATAACCTGATATCTGGAATTGTGATCCCTCTCACCTTGTTCTTCTTTTTCAAGATTGATGCAGCTATATGGTGTCTTTTTTGGTTCCATATAAACTTTTAGAGTATTTGTTCTAGATCTGTGAAATATGCTATTGGTATTTTAATAAGGATTGCATTTAATCTATAGATTGTTTTGGGTATTATGGACATTTTAATGTTGATTAGTCCAATCCAGGAACAGGTTGTATGGTTCCACTTTTTTATATCTTCTTCTATTTTTTTTCAATGTCCTGTAGTTTTCTGAGAACATGTCTTTTACCTTCTTGGCTAACTTTATTCCTAGGTATTTTCATTTTTTGTTATAATGGTAAATGGGATTTTTTTTAGTTTCCCTTTCTATGTGTTTATTATTGATGTTTAAAAATGCCAATGATTCCTGAATGTTGATTTTTTTATCCTGCTATCTTGCTGAATTCATTTATTAAATATAATAGTGTTTTTTTTTTTTTGGTGGAGTCTTAGGTTTTGTATGTACAATATCATGTCATTTGCAAATAATGACAGTTTCACCTCCTCCTTTTCAATTTGGATGCCTTTTATTTTTTCTTGTCTGATTCCAGTACTGTATTGAATTAGAGTGGTTAAAGCAGACATACCTATCTTATTCCTATTCTTAAGGGAAATGCTTTTAGTTTTTGCCCTGGAGTATGATGTCGTCTGTAGGGTTGTCATATATGGCCTTTATTATGTTGAGGTATGATCCTTCTATTTTCACTTTGCTGAGAGATTTTTATTAAAAATCAGTGCTGGATTTTGTCATATGCTTTTTCAGCATCTGCTGATATGATCATATGATTTTAACTTTCATTTTGTTTATGTGATATATCACATGTATTGATTTGCAAATATTGTTTCAGCCTTGCATCCCCAGGATAAATCCCACTTGATCATGGTGAATAATTTTTTTAATGCATTGTTGGATCCGATTTGCTAGTATTTTGTTCAGGATTTTGGCATCTATGTTCATCAGGGATATTGGCCTGTAGTTTTCTTTCTTTGTAATGTCTTTTTCTGGTTTTGGAATTAGAATTATGCTGGTCTTATAAAACGAATTTGGAAATCTTCCTTGTTCTTCAATGTTTTGAAATAGTTTGAGGAGAATGGGTGTTGGTTATTCTTTGAATGTTCGGTAAAACTCCCTTGTGAAGCCATCCGGGCCTGGGCTTTTGTTTGCTGGGAGAGGCTTGATTACATTTTCAACTTCCTTAGTTGTTATTGGTCTATTCAAGTTTTCTATCTCTTCCTGGTTCAGTTTTGGGAGACTATATGTTTCTAGAA